TCTACAGCAAAATCAAAAAAATGAAAGTCAACAACACAAAAAATGCTTTGCAGGATCTCAACCAGTGGTTCTTAATTCCATATAGAAGTTACCTTTCTCAAGCGACGAGACATTCTGTGAGGTAAGAGTGATACGAATACGATGTTCGACTTCGTCCATCGTTACCGGTTTTTCGGTTTTGTACGGTACGCCAGCCTGAAGGAAAAAAAAAAACACAGTGAAATCGCCACCAGACAAGAGTGTTTTGAGCGGCTGGCAGCTCCCTAGTTTAATTATGTAAAGTCCAAGTTTAACAAAATAACAGAATACTTTTTATATATTACCTGTTCGGTAAACTAAAGACTTCAAAAAAAAGCCATTGTTTTCTTGAGTGCAAATCTCAAAGTAAAAAAAAAATCAACCAGAAACTAACCATTTTCGTAAAGTTATTTGTTGAGCTTCTATCCAAACAGTTTATAGATCACTTCCTTTTTCTCACTTTTCTGTGCTCTATATCCAGGGCTGAAAAGGGTAATAATGTCAAACTTTAGTGATCAATAAAACGAAAGTTAATACGTATCAAGTAGCAATTTCAAAACAAAAATTACGCTGATATATCTGGAAAAAAAGTGAAGTACTAACGAGAAAAGTTACATTTAAACAAATGCGCCAGTAAAAAGTACACCAAAAGAAAAAATAATATTAATAATAATAAAGTTAATAATTCATTCAACAGCACTGAATCTTAAAGTTTCATTAACACATCACCAGATAAATATGTTAAACGCAAGAATTTAAAAACCATCTTCCACCTTATAAGGCAAACCAACAATATCCAGCATCTGATGAACGGGACGGACAGTACCGATGAAAATCCTTAAAATACCGAGTAGAACGACTTCAAAACCAAACAATTCTTGGCGGCTTTCCAACACTGTATGTTGAGTCAGAAACGATACTCAAAGAAGGCTACTTGCTGGTTCCTGAAAAGAAATTGTAAACACAGGAAGCCGAGTGTAACAGCTTGGTTATATATGGAATGACTGTTGCTGGTTTCCGCGGTAGCCTATGACAGAGAAGTTTAAGGAATATATTTTTATAGTGTATCTCCGATGGTTATGTGTCCACTATTTAGAAAAGCTTCGGGAGTTTCCTTTTTTCTATGAAACATGAGGAAAAAAATTCTGCTTTATTTTTCTGCTGTGAGAACTGGGAACTTTACGTCACTGTCCAGTTTTGAGCAGATGAAGTGGCAAAATGAAATTTATTGTCTTCATTTCGGCCGTTTCTGGATTCACTTGTCTGAATACTGTAGGTTGTGTGGGGAGTCTTTATTACAGACCGAATATATGAAACAGCGGCTTATTCTTGAGGACTTTAGGAGAATTAAATTAAGTGGTACTCTTTCATTTCTAGCTTCGTTTTGCCCTTGTTTTCTTGGAACAGTCTTCTAGCTGTAGGACGAAGGCCACCATTCTTTGATTTAAATTTTTTTTTT